AAAGGTGACGATGATATATTTTGGTCAGTGTGGTATTGTCGGCTCGATACCTGCTGTGTAGTATAAGTAAGCCTTTGTCCTATACGAGATCAAGAGAGCATTTGAGTCTGATGACTTAGATACGAAGAAATTCAGTTTGCACTCTCTGTAAAGGGGAGGCGTCTAAGAGGCTGCTGGTAACAGGGTGTCAAATAGGCTTTCAAAGCAGGTTGTAGGTGGTCATTGCAACTTTAAACATGGCAACGTAGGACTTCTAGAATTTGAGGGATGGGGCCAACGTATGACTTGTAGAACTTTGCATTTTATATCGTATTCAGTTGGGAGCAGTCAGGGAAGATGAGACTTAAAATTGTACCAGTGGAGGGGCTGGCCATTAAGAATGCTGTGAGTTTCTTATCGAAATCAATGTAGAGGTTATGTGATCCAGTTTACATGCTGTTTGTCATGCTAATTTCAGCTCGGACATCAAATATTTAACAATTTTTAAAGGAGTTATTACCCTCTTTTTTTGCATTTTAAGTTTTTACGGAGATATCACTCATTTTCACCAATTTTGCTGAACCTTTAAAGGGTTATAATCATTCCTTAGAATGATGTTTTCCTCAATGGCACTGTGATTTTTAGTTGTGCATGTTTGATTTTTGTACTGATCAGAAAAGGAAAATGGCAAACAGGCAGCCATCTTGGACTTTAACGTCGAAAGTTTTTTTTCGCTACTTCTTGAGAACTGCAAATTTCATGTGTAGGCTTCCCTTGCTCCCTAGTTGTGCCTGTTTGATTTTTGTATTGGCCAGGAAAAGAAAATGGCAAACAGGCAGCCATCTTGTGTGTTGATTTTGAAACTTTGTTATCGCTGCTTCTTGATAAATGCTCCATAGGTATTTCTCAAATTTCATGTATGGGTTCCTCTTTGTCTCATATTGTGTCAGTAAGATTTTGGGACTGATCAGAAAAAACAAAATGGTTTTCAGATTAAAAAAAAAAAACTTTGCAAAAGTAGTGTATACCTAAGATCTAAAAATAGAACAACCAGTTAAGCTCGACATAGTTAGATATCGGTCAAAGATAAAGTCACAGTATACACGAAAGAATTTATGGAATAAAAAAAGTTGGACAGGATCTAGATCTAGGCTAATCATATCAGTGATCTGACGACACTCACCTGACACGACAAAAACAGTAAGAAGTCATATTACGTATTAACAAATAAGCCGGATGTAACTTGAGAAATGTTACACCCTACGTATATTAAGAAAGTCCATTTTAACATCGTCAAAGGGGAATGTTATGTATTATGGAGTGTAAAATCCTATTACTGGTTATAAAGTACACGCAATTATGACGTTTTACCTACGTATCTATCACTTACTGCTAAACAGGGTGTACATTTTTGACACATTCTCAAGCTATTTTTCTATAACTTCCTAGTTCAGTTGGTTTGAAATCTAGACATATTCTCTTATGTTCTGTGGTATTTTGAAAACTAATCAGCGAGGAAAATAAATCGTACACAAAATCGGGTTTTGTGAAAATAAATAATGTGCACGAAACAATATATGATAACTTTATCTTGATAAGTAATCTGAACGGTTTCACCAAGAAGACATAATTGGTTTCCAAGCTATTAGCTGACAAGTAGTTAGATCTATTATATCTACGTATATATGTATTTATACTGAGTAATTACGTGTCTGTACCGCCTTGGAGTCTCGCTTGTTTACATGTATTACGAAATCAATTTCGTATATTCTATAAATATAAAAGATTACGGGTTCCAAACGAAACATATTTAAAACCCCGTATTTAACATATGATGATTATTCTCTAACTACAACAGTCGAAAAAATTAACTTATATTTAAATTTAAACATCTACCTGTAAGAAATAAATCATGTCTGTACATATTCTAAGTGATCTGTTGCAGATCTTGTTACACCGAATTTAAATATACTTTTTATGACGCATCGATGATTATGACCAGGACGCTATTAAGAAGAAAGTATGAGGAATTATGTTATATATCTTACCAGGAAAATGAAGGATAAACCCTAAGACACCATATCCAAGCTTCACTATAACGTGAAAAAGTGTGTCGTTATAGCGAGGTTTCCATGTAAAGTGGTAAACCCGTGTCGTTATAGCGAGGTTTCCATGTAAAGTGGCAAAACCGTGTCGTTATAGCGAGGTTTCTATGTAAAGTGGCAAAACCGTGTCGTTATAGCGAGGTTTCCATGTAAAGTGGCTAACCCGTGCCGTTATATCGAGGTCTCCATGTAAAGTGGTAAAAAATTGTGTCGTTATATCGAGGTTTCCGTGTAAAGTTGTAAACCCGTGTCGTTATATCGAGGTTTCCATGTAGAGTAGTAAACCCGTGTCGTTATATCGAGGTTTCCATGTAGAGTGGTAAACCCGTGACGTTATATCGAGATTTCCATGTAAAGTGGCCAACTCGTGTCGTTATAGCAAGGTTTCCGAGTAAGGTGGAAAACCCGTGTCGTTACATCGAGGTTTCCATGTAAAGTGGCAAACCCGTGACGTTATATCGAGCATCGATAAATCGAAGTTTCCCTTGAAAGGTGGCAAATATGCGGCGTTATAACGATTTTTCTCCGTAAACTGACAAACTTGTATCGATAAAGTCGAAGTTTTCCTGTCAAGTGGTATTAAGAAACAATATGTATAGGCAAACCTGAATGTGAAATGGTTAACACTTATAAGTAGTTACCAATGAGGGACGACATACTGCTTTTTAATCTTGTTTTACATGGAGTTTTTTGGGACATTTACCGTAGTTTACGAGATATGGTTTCTGTGAATTAACCATGAATTTCTTATGGAATTTCTCGGCTTCCTGTATCCACACCCATAAATAGGTCGTACTTTTTGGCGGTCAATATCTTTGTACTAAAACTACTACAATATATCATAGATATGATACTAATATTCCTATCGCTTCACTTCCAAATACATTTAATATTCATAAAGACGGGGTCATGGTTATTAATCACGGTCGTTTGTACTACGCCAAAACATCAATATACACTATAGCCAAAAACACGGCTATCAGAGCAAATCTGAATATCTGATCGAGTATTGCGTATGTAACAGATCAAGTCACAATTCAAAAATAGCGTCCGTGAAATACTGTGCTACCTTCCGCTTTTAGAATTCTTGGAACTCGTTTTTGTCACAATTATACGTAAACAAGGAAGGACCTGCTGAAGGATTGGGGTATATATGTTTATATAGGGTAAGTACACACAGCACGTTATCACTTACTAACACCCGTATTACTGTGTGAAATAAGATTTCTTGATAGTTCATTTTATTACTGTGTGAAATAAGATTTCTTGATAATCACTGTGTGAAATAGAATTTCTTAACAATCAATGTTATAACTGTGTGAAATAAGATTTCTTGATAGTCACTGTGTGAAATAAGATTTCTTGGTAGTCACTGTGTGAAAGAGAATTTCTTAACAATCATTGTTATTACTGTGTGAAATAGGATTTCTTGATAGTCACTGTGTGAAATAGAAGTTCTTAACAATCAATGTTATAACTGTGTGAAATAGGATTAACATGGGATAACTATATTTTCTACTACATAATGTGAGAGTTGTGGCAATATTTGCCATTTTCGGTAACAAATTCACTGAAATATAAGTTTGCCAAATTAATTTTCATGTTTTTTTTTACTTCGATTTTATATCCTTTTTTTCATTTCAAAAATATCATACGTTATACCATTCTTGAAGATGATGTCATACATGTTTTCATTTACACAGGTAGAAATGTGTGACGCAATGTCTTTGTGTTTTTTTCTGATTGTATTCAACTGATCTATATACACTCTGTATGAATAGAACATACCTGTTTACTAAACGAAATTGACGATATAGAACTAATACCGAACATTATCAATGTATGTAATTCTTTATTGAATCGTAGTAATTGAATCGATGTTTTCAGTCAACATTTTCTCATTCAACCTCTCTATATAAAATGATTTGGGCCTCCCGTATAATGTTAAGTCAGGTTGCCACAGACTACTACAAGGAGACTCCACTCAATACAACCTATAAACAAGACTTTGACGGAGGAACTTTAAACGAAAACGCATACATTGCTGTAAAATAGCGCTATGTCGTCATAATTTGGAAAAAAAAACATATATTACTTTGAAATAGCGATATGACGTCATGCTTTTACATCTCGAGAAGCTCTTAATTTTTTGTCAAAAGGAGGCGCTGTCATATTGGCAGATGATGTTATATCAACAGAAGAGATGTATATTCCAAATCCAAGGGTTCTTTCTCTCAATACTTTGTCCGTATCCTTGGAATCTGTACGACAATGACCTGCTGCTTGTATTTGGCTTGTTACAGAAAATTATGGAAAAAACAATGACATTGTTCATCTCAAATAAAGCCTGTTTGCTTTACCGTGGTTTCATTAATTGAATCAAAGACATTATTGCGGTGAAGAACCTTGTAATCGATTTAAGAATAGGCGAATCTTATCTTTCGCCAATTTGCGTCTAGAATTCGTAATGATATCTAACCCATGGTTTTAGAAGACATTTGCTATCTCGACATTTCACGTTTCTGGCGTTTCAGGTAGAAGTCGTAGTTATGTTATTTCCGGCATGGTGGTGAAATTATATATTTGGAGCACGAAGTCCCACTGGGGTCACGTGTCCCTGGCCTTGGGGGACGGGACTTACATCAGTTGGAGACCGACCTACCAAGTGGAAATAAATCCAACTTGTGTAAGTTTAGAAATCTTTCATTATCAATAAAATAACGATATATTCATATTTACATAACATAAAAGCATAATCGTCAGTTATTTTATAATCTGTTTCTTTAAGGAGTATGAAGCTTGATGCGTCTGATCGTCAGTTTTCCCCCGTTACTTCCGTTGTTGTTGACCTTGTTCTCATTTGAAGAACGTGGCATTATTTACTTGAATTGACCATAATTAACATGGAAAGTGCCGTCGATGAAACAGAAGACGCTTACTCTTCCGGAACACGTGGTCCTATTCTCCTTGTATATTTTCAGGAGTCATCGTCAAATATTTCTTTTGTTCTTATTTTCTCCAAGTTTTATTGAATTTGAGCTTGGACCATGATAATGTTGACATGTAGGTATTCTTGTTTCCCCCTTAAATTCATAGAAGCATGCGTGAAAACACAATCAGTTCACAATATTGTTTATTTCAAACATAACTACGGACCTAACAAAAAGTATTAACTCTAAAGATTAATATATGTGTAGCAACTTCGTTTTTTCATAAGGTCGACTGCACTTAAATAATGAAAAACTTTCAGTATTTAGATTTAGGCGTATACACTTTTATGGCATGTGGCCGTGTTTGAAACAAAAGAATATATAATTTTATCTTTTTCCGACGGATATTGAATTTACCTTTTAGTAGTTTAGAGCTGTCATAAGGTGAATGAAACATTATTCATTACATAATATTGATAAAATTCGCTCTTTATTAATTACTCTTGTTGGCATGCGGATGGAAGCGTGCTTTATAAAGTGAAAGGAAAACCAGAGAACGAGACAGACATCCATTCTCACCTTCGACTGCGGAATTAAACATTGGTCTTCTTTGTTAAAGACGAGTGTGCCATCCTATCTATCAATAAAACGTTACAGGAAAATTATAAACAGTTTTGTGTGAACGTGAGCTCTATTTCTGCAGCCTTACTAAGAGACTTTTTTTTTTTCAAAATGATTGGTTTCAAATTCTTTTAGAATATTAAAGATCAAAGTTCAATAAACTATCATTTATTCGCAGGCGACAGAATGGGTGATTGCACGCGCTCAGCAAACGTTACAGGACGATATTCGTACAGAGTTTGGAAAACTTCCCGTCCACGCCATCAAAATTTCCGACGAAATATTAGATGAAGATAAGATTAAAAGGTGGTGGTTGAAGTTCAAGGCCAACAACAAGTACAACCTTCTCACGTGCAATAGTTCCACCGTTGTTTATTTCGCCCTGAGAGAAGGCGGTGCTCTAGATCACGTGATTGATCGTCAACCGAGATGGTGGACACCAGACGATATCAAAGCTTTCGGAGAGGCGATTTGTTTAGGGTACAAAACTAAAGGGAAGGCTGGAGTTATGTTTTCACCAAGTGATCAACAGTTTATGTCACATCTTGGAAAGGTGACGTCAGCTGGAATGATTAACTCTTTCCTGTCTACGTGACATGGGTTCCTTTGCCAATATGTGGTACTTTTATGTAATCGTTTACAGAAGTAAAACGAACCAAATCATAACTCTGTACTTGCTGACCCCGGTGCCGAAATCACATATCGTTTTTTGTACGAAAAGTGGGTTGGATATCCTAAAACTTATGCTAATACATTGTATTATCATGTTTTCAAAAGATGGAACATTAGTTTAACACGTTTCCTAGCTGTTTGTAAGAATACGGACCTTCCTCGTTTCTATTGGATTCCAAGACGTCAAAGCAACTTCCTTCAACAAGGCTGTGTTGCTTTTTTGGCTAGTTTCTCAGCATGCATGCCAGTATGTTAAATTAAGGTTTAACAGATTTGGCGTGACTATATACACAAAACACTTTGCAATCCAGAGTCATACGCTCCTTGAAAATGTCTCCTTTGGTAGAAAATCTTATTTTTCCACAATGCACTAACACTCCACATCCCATACTGTACAAAACTTTATTTTCTTGATACAAGGGCTCTCTTTTTCAATAAGCCGAGCAAGGAAACAATAATGGGATTGAGTAAAATATGTTGAGGCTGTTGTGGGATAGAATAATTGAAGCCAAGACGAAATTTACCGCGTATAAAATCATCGAAGCGGTCCAGTTTTTGGATGACAATATTCCCGTTGAGATAAGTGGCGAGGTATTTCAAAAGATATTTTGCATGCTTATGGGAACAAACTACAACCCTTCTCTTGACCGAATTGCTTACAGGCTGAACCTGTCAAGAGCTAATAAGGATAAGAAACAAAGACCACGACAAGTCTTTAAGTTTCTTTGTTGAATAATTCAGACATATATGTACCCACCAGAACTGAAAATCATAGACAGCTTTTTATAGTCAGCTGCTTTCCACTAAGCTGTATGATAACTTGATAAGCATGATGACTCCATAGTGTTTAAATATCGCAGCTGAGCTGGTGTTCGATGTCGTTTCACCAATGATAATTTCTGTGATAAATGTTGTCAACATGACCTTGATGAGAAAAATCTTTTCTCTTACTCGATATTAAATTTTATGTGTTCAATAATTAGTTAGTCTGGTGTTTTCTTTTTGTTATTGACACGGTTCTCACTTTGATAACGCTACAATACTTAATCGACCTACAGTTGCGTGTCCAGTGTCACCAGTAAAGCAGGAGACCAATGTTTTCCGTGTATTATCTTACTTAACGATTTCCAGAATTCCATTTTTATTCAAATGTTGGTATTTTCTTTCTTTTTAACATAAACAAAAGCTGATCAATACGACAAATGCTGATTATCAAATGATTTTGCAAGATTTATAGATGTAACACAGTTCATAATATTTACACATGGAAATTCATGATTTTTGATTGGTTTATATATCTATTAATCTATTTGTTTGTTTTTTTTTCATGAAAACATCCTTATTTGTTGTGCAACATGCAAAAATGTTTTTTAAATTGTTTATTCTTCAGTAAATAAGTTCTAAGCAGTTTGTTGATGAACGAAATTATTTTATTTTGACAACTGACAAAACAAGGAAAAGAACAGGTAACCAAGCACTCACATTCTCCTCGCATTCATAACTTTACAGGTTACTGTAAAACGTACATGTTTTAGTGAGCGTCTTTCTTTTGGCGTTTTCTTCACCGACACTATTGCACTAAAATAAATCAATGCATCAGTTGTATGGTATCTGTATATAATCGCATTTTATTGTACATGTATGTGCGCTAATTCATTGATGCCTTTTAATTTTCTGGTAAGAATTTGCAAATCGGATGCGCAAAAATTTGAGAACACGAAAATTTGTACGTTTACAGTATATAAAGTGATTTTTTGATGACTATGTGCAAGATTATGATTTCAGTGATAGCGTCTATGATATATGAACAACACAAACTACGGTGTGATACAATCAGTCCTATATTTCTAAACACAAGGACTTGATACGAATCCCCAATCCTGGGTTAGGAAATTGTACCTAGTCACTGTGTTTCTAACTACATCCGTCACAGATACTTAGAGGGCGTTTTCTCATTGGTCATTTATCCAACAGGAAGTGCGTGAACAAACCTCTTAACGTATGGGGCGGTTGAAAAAATCTCTATATGATACAAAACCATTGCATGGGGGATGGGGTCATATTTTAAATTTTGATATTTTCATATGAACTAGTATTGCATGAAGGCAGGCTTACCTCAGAACAGACAACGGTATATATAATTAGTATTAACATTCTTTGACTGGGACACAGGACATTATATGACCTTGGTAGACAAACTAACACACCAATGAAACATTGTAAAAATTCATTTTTTTGTTATGGAAATACACAAACATGAAAATGCATAAAAGTTTTGATACAGATTTGGACAAATGATTAAATGAAATATCCACATTCCTGCCCCCTCCTAAAAAAAAAAAAAAAAAAAACAGGTATCGGTAGCATTTCCACACACAAACATTTTCATTTTTACATCACTAAATGTTTTGAATTTCTCTAGTAACTTGTATGTAAAATTTTGTAAATATGCTAAACAACAGATTTTGATACAGATATACACACCTCTCGTCTGATGTTTAATGAACCCCGTGGTTGTCAATGGGCGATAAACAGAGCTAATAAAACAACAAACAAGTTTAACAGATATCTGGGATACAAATTTCCCATAGATTTGAAAAAATATTGAAAATAAAACAATAATATCAATAACATCTATAAAATCTTTCCCTAGTAAACAGTTAACTTAAACAACGGACAATTTAAAATAAACACATGTCTTTGCAAAACTTAACACTAATAAGAATCTATGTACACAAAGTTGTTTTAGATATAAACTCTCATACATTACTAAAATACATTAAACCAGAAGTCAGAGTTGGGGTCAGATCACAGTCTAAATGGATTTCATACTTTGATTCATCGAAAATCTGTTTGTTTTACCTGAACTAAAACTATTTATAACTATATATTCATTTTTAAAAATTTTGTTTCATAAAAGGGTTTAAAACTTTGCGACAATTTTCTCCGCCAAACATCTATAAACAAAAGCCCTCTAATGAGGACACCTTTTACACCAAACATATCGTTTGTTTGGAGAGGGCTTCCGTTACAGGTTTTGATGATGTAAGTGAAGAATGATGACTATTTTCCAAGTGTTGTAAATTTCTCTCAGTTTTCTTGGGTTTACGACATGACATAATGTATAGGTTACATTATTTTATGGCCAAATATAATTTTATGAAATAATTAGCCTGATTCTTATTTCTTCAAAAACTATAAATAATTTCCTCTATAATTACTGCAACCTTTTAAAGACAAATTATTAATTTGTCCATGCAATGTAATCTCACGTGGTACTTATACCTATCAAATGTTGCTCCTTATATACCCTCTCCCCTTCACGCACCCTCTCGTCCTTTTCATGTCTCTCGTCCTTCCCCGTGTCTCTCGTCCTTCCCCTTGTCTCTCGTATTTCTCCATGTCTCTCGTCCTTCCCATGTCTCTCGTTCTTCCCATGCCTCTCGTCCTTCCCCACGCCTTTCCCCATGTCTCTCGTCCTTCCACACGCTTTTCCCCATGTGTCTCGTCCTTCCCATGCCTCTCGTCCTTTTCCATACCTCTCGTCCTTCCCCATGTCTCTCGTCCTTCCCGTGCCTCTCGTCCTTCTCCATGTCTCTCGTCTTTCCCCATGTCTCTCGTCCTTCCTATGTCTCTTGTCCTTCCCCACGCCTTTGCCAATGTCTCTTGTCATTCCCCACGCTTTTCCCCATGTCTCTCGTCCTTCCCCATGCCTCTCGTCCTTCCCATGCCTCTCGTCCTTCCCCATGCCTCTAGTCCTTCCACATGCCTCTCGTCCTTCCCATGCCTCTCGTCCTTCCCCATGTCTCTCGTCTTTCCCATGCCTCTCATCCTTTCCCTTGTGGAAGTAAAAAAGGCGGCTGGAAGATGTTAATGACAACAGATGTATAACACTTTGATAACAAATAATAATATTACACCATAAACAAGTGAACTAACCATACACGTTAGTAGAAATACAACTCTGAATATATCCTGTAATAAGCCCAGGGCACAACACATAACTACAGACTTTACTCAAAGTCACAGGTTGGGCTTATTACAGGACAATGAAATAACATTTGCTGGTAAATACAAATATTCATGGGTGGGATTATTACCAAGTAGCATGGGCTTATTAACAGATATATATGGTAACAAATTATACACCCATACAAACATTCATTCACCCTTCCTCAATAAAATACAACCCATAATCACATAGCTAACAACATTTATCTGCATCACAAAATTTCTTTACATTCTTAATCACATTTCCTTCTACACTAAAAACTATTCTCTCAAAAGCAGCCATGCACAAGTTCATCGTTTGTAATACAGAAAATCAGCTATTCAAATGCACCAAAAAAGTCGGTATTTCATTTCTGATAAGTTCTACGATTTTTTTTTCCAAATGGAAATGTAGTTTAAATGCAACTATATATATATATATATATCCAAGGGAGAATTTAAGGCTGGATAGATTACAATCTACAATTGGTATTTTCATCTTCTGTCACTCTCTAATGTCTTCTAGTAACAAAACAAAATTAGCTTTGCAATTGATCAACAAAATAATGAATGAGTATTTTTTGCTTGCTGCACACTTTCATTTGCAGTTAAAAACACAGCAGGGCAAGACAAACTGTACATATTTTGTCGATGAAATGGTTTGGGTAGTTAGCGAATTAAATTCTGCACTTTTTATATTAATTCTATCTACAGTGTGCCAAGATGACATTTATATAAGCTATCCCGTGAAAGTATATAATTCTATAATTTCTTTACATGATACGTTCTGTTTTGGATCAGAGATCACTCCAACTGTTTTAAGTTAAAAGACTTGCTGTCCAGATACTATATTCCGTTTGTGAGAAATAGTGATGAAACTTTCAAGTTAAAAAAACATCTTCAATGTGGCACTGGTCTAAATTCCTGACAAGACTACCTCTGTAGACCAGATATAACTTTTTAGTGTGAACCCTGTATCAATATGAATTCACATTCAGGAGATTAAGAAATACATTTCAAGATGACGATCATGGCAGCCATTTTGAATGTGGCAAGTAGTGGTAACAAAATGGCCATTAGGAGTCCCAGTTTATTTTAGGATCAATAGGGACCGTGCTCTACTCACTAACAGGGGATGTGTCTCCTGATGAGTAGGGATAACAAGAAATTACGAACATACAGACTGATTGGCGTTGGATGACAAATCCTTATATATAGATATATCTATTGACCTTGGATCAATTTCAACCTAAAAGCAAGATTGACCAACTTTCATTGATAGTTCTCAACATGGCTGGTTACAGCCTAATAACACTGCCGGGAACTACCACAAAAATACAATATTGCACTTCTACCCTCTCACACCAGGATAATCCCACAAAATATACTAATGTTATATATAGATTCCTATGGGAACAAGTCAACATATCACAATAGCCTCACAACACATGTAAGTAAATAAAGACTGTTTGATTTAAAAAAAAAACCAGTACCTTAGATAAAATGATGCTCCAGTTCAACAGATTCCAAAATTGAAATAAAAAAATGGCACATCATTTCACATGAAGAATGATTTTGATCACCCAACAGCTTCGCCCTCAATGAGTGTGAGCCTACATTACCATATTTGGTTTGATCTAATTACAATTTTTTATGTTGGTCTGATGAAGGTAAAATATCTTTCTACAACCACAAGTGATTAAAGCTAGATTCTTTGACTAAAACTAAGACAGTCTTGTAATCCCAAAGTTCTTACAAGGGTGAAATCCAAAGCCAATTATGAATTCTAATGGATTTTGAATTACTTTTTTTTGATAAATATGACTTATCAGCATCCTCTTAGAGGTTTGGAGAAGAACGTTGATAGAATTTTATGATTACGTTTATTTAAATTGAAAATTTCAAAACGATGTATATTATGACATTATTTGTATATTATTCATCTTTATCGCTAAAAATTAAAAAAAAAAAAAAAAAACTGAAAAAAAAAAATATCACAAATAATTAACTGAACATTGCCAACATGAGTATTGTACACATGAGATCAGTCAATTTTTATCATCAGTTGGGAGGGTATGTAGATAGGAGATGAGATTTATTTAAATGTACCGCTATACATATCACAAAGACCTAAACATTCCAAAGTTCTATGCTTCTTTCAGCTTTTCCACATTATCTCTCAGCATCTGAACTTGTTCTGAAAGAAACCAAAATTAGAAGTCATTATTTTTTGTTTTTCAAAAAGATGGTTTTCTGTAACTGCTGCAATATGTATTATTAAATTTTTAATGTTTGAAAAATAAATCTTTTGAAACTCAGTAATTAATTTCTTTTCACAAAAATTCAAAATTAATACATGAGCAATGTGATATTTTTCTTTAAATCCGAAAACTGATGTAAGGTAGCTCAAAAAATAATCCAACTATGTTTAAGGAGACTGCAGTGCGTAACAAACTTAGATGAATTTCGCCTTCAGATTTACAAGAGTTGTGTCCCCTCACCTTCTCTCAGATTGGCAATGGTCGATTGCTTCCTGAGAAATTCCAAACAAAGATCCTTGTTTAGTCCAAAAGATCTCATGTTGCACGTGAATGTCCTGTAAATAAAAAATGAATATAATCAAAACAAACAAACATTTTTCTTTAAATATGAAAGAAAACATCATTTCATACAACAATTACATGATTTGTCAGGAGCAGATTTAAACACAAGTATTTGACACAAATCCAATACTAATAATACAAATGTATGGACCGTGAGTCAGGAATCCGTTCCAAACCCCGTGAATTTAAACAGGCTGAGTAAATCTATCAACTATTCATTATCCTAAATATTATTATTATTTTTTTTAAAGTTTTATACTAAAACATAATGTCCTATATATGAATAGTCTTCAGTGTTATTCAGTTTACTGGGAAAAAAGATTGACGACAACATTATTTCTTTCCACTTGGAAGACCTCTATGACCTTGCGGGTCGGACCTTACCCAAGCTGTCCGAAGGTGATGTTTTCTTGGAATTGTTTATCGTCCGTCTGGGCTTGGTCAGTTTCTTGACTGTTACAGAAATAAAAATAGAGCTTATAAAGTCATCTGCATATCTGATGAAATTTATCTTTTGAGAAATATATCACAACACATCCTTTTAAGCCAAGACTGGACATCATCCTGAACAAGATTCAATCCCTAAAATGGGGAGAGACGAGATGTAAATTTGAAAATTTCATTCAATGTTTGATGACACGAGATGAATTAAGAAACAATGCGTCTTTCTTTTAAGGAATAGAATCAAGAGATGATTTCTGTCATGAAGTGACAGTTACTATAGACAGTGGGTTTGGCTGAAACGATGTGTCAGATTCCGTTTCCAAAAGACATTAAAGACATCAGCACCAAAAAACAAGGATGAATATTCATATAAGTTTTGTCAAATATGTATAGATAATGTTATTGATGGCTGACTACAGAATACAAAGTGTATTGGCTCCAAGTTAACAAACGGGAGTACATTATCATTCTGAGACAGAACAGACACCAATAATACATTCTTTTTGAGAGAAAAAAAACGGAATGTTCTATATCAGTAAAACTAAAAAAAACTTATTTTAAGTGTGTTAAAGGCTTCATTTACAAAGTATATAATTGTAATATTTATTGAGTGATAAGCCCATGCCTGGTAATAAGCCCACTTATTACTGTCCAGCAGAATTCTAATAAAAACCATTTTATTGTCCCCCATTCCTAATCCTAGAGTCCGGAATTGTATAAATCTTTATTGAACCCCCGGGCTTATTACAAGACAAACATGTTACACTACTTACAAACAAATTATCTGAGTTTAATAAAAGTTCCCTAACGTGAATGGTTCAACTCCATTCACTGACTGTGCAATGTATAACAGGTTAATGGAGAATCAATGACAGAGGGCTATATACCTTGTACACATGGGCTGTCTGGCTCGCTCACACTGTACAGCGTCAAAGAAAGCCGCATTCCAGAAGCGTAAAGACTGCCATATTGGTTGTTCTCTTAGAAAGCTGTATAAAAAGTTACGCCCACTAACGTTACCATGGTGACCTGTAATTACAAAATCGCCTTCAATTTAAGTCTATCTACATATGGTTATGACACATCTGCGTTTGTTTCAAGAAGGGAAATTCTTGACTCAATTACAACTGCATATATAGCAATATATTGCATTTTCTTTTGATCATATGGTGACATACAATCATCTTTTGGTTCAGGTGTTGTGAATTTAAAGTACATTTACAAACTCAGTAGATCATGTCGTACAATCCAAGCTAATGTTATACTGTAAGATCCTATATTGTATCCTGTTATGTGGACACATAAATTGGTGGATGTATACATCTCAACAAATCTGCTTTAGGATAATTCTAACAACAGTTGGCGTATGAATTAGTGTGTTAAGAGTATTCCAAATCTGATGAAAATAAGTCTTCCACAAAAATTAGTGATCTTGCAGAACTGTGATTTGGGAAATTCTTGTGTAGTGTTATTTTAAGAATTTTTAGAAAAAATGAAAATGTCTTTTTTTATTTTCAAATCTTTAATTTTAGGTACCTGTTATATGCTGTTCTAATGTTACCAAATATGTATTTTTTTTTACAGTTTTTTTGAAAATTTAATTTCTGACATTAAAGTCACTGACAAATTTGTCTAAATCAAGCAAAAAAAAAAAAAAAAAAAATTCACGATTTAACATTTGACATTGCAACAGTACTGACTATTAAACCAAGGAACTTTGGGAGATATGACCTTTCTGCTTTTGTGATCTTGACCTTTCTGTGACCTTGAACAATCTCATTCTGTTACCTTCAACATAATATTTTTTTTAGTTAATATTTTCCATTTCCCATCAACAATAAAAATGAGGCTATAAATAGACTGATAAAGGGAAGGTCCAATCAAAACGCCGATAGGTTTTATCATAAATTCTTCATTCGGAATAGTGGTAACTACAAAAAAATGGACATACTCAGTGTAAACAATGCATCTCTGATATCATTAATTTATAATATAAGCAATTTGAATATGGTCGACAGGTAAAAATCAGGTCAATTTTGCAAAATAGTGGTATGTTCTCACTTTCATAGAAGAAGGTAAAGCACATGTTCATCAGAGACTTTGCTGGGGAGAAATCTTCGGCTTCATTACACTCGAATAGAACAACCGCAAAGTACTGCACCAACTGGAAGAATATCTGCTCCGAAACATTTTTGATGTGGACTCTCTGAAACATATTTACGGTACAAAATAAATGATCACAGCACAGCATCCTGTTTATTTCAAGGTTCATTGTGTAATTTGACGTCAGTTTCACATGAATCAATTTCAATCAACATCCTTGTGATCTGACCTTTGACCTTTTTGTGGTTAAAACCCCATTATTCTTTCTTACTGCAAAAAGTTAGTGTTGCCAACCTAGGATCATATTCCTTAAATATCAAAGGTGACAGGATGTTTTAAGCGTCATCAAGGAATAAGCCATATAATCAATTCTATTGTATAGTTTTCACATCTGTATGTATTAAGATGGTGTCCTGTGTTATATTCAGGATGTGGCCTATATCAGTCTGACCTGATAAAATCTGGTGAATTGGTGACACTGGAAATATATGCCGAACTGTTGTCATTTTTCATGATGATGTAGAAACTGATATTTCATGGGTGTCAACTGTCTAAAAAAAACCTTTAAAACTATACATCAAAATATATGTGTGGATTTTTTTTGCACTGATTTACAGGAACATCTCTACAACATAAACTTTGTATGTTACACGTGTATCAAACATTCTTCGATATATCGTTGAAAAAAAATCTAGCTGCTTTGTCTTGTACAGAAACAAGATGACTAAATGTGTAATATATTGGCTGAAATCAAAGTGTGTTTTTAAGTTTTAAGGCAAAAAGGACACCATCTTGGACGGGAAAATGTAGACAAAAATTTATTTCCCACCATCTTTTTTATAATGGTTTGTCTTGGATACAGGTATTATTTTCCAATGTGACATTAATGACCAATTTCTCGGTTTCTTTTTTCCCAGATGGTAGATAGTACTCTGTCAGGGTGTGTTAGATATTTAGTAGATTCAAGTTGGATTTGGGTGCCATCTTGTATTTTGCAGTATATGCTGACATTTTGATGAAGCACCATTGTATATATATATTGTACATAAGATTTTCTTAAATAGGTTTTATTCATGCAATATTTATAATACGAGATGTTGATTTTTTTTTACAAAAATTCTGCATGGTTTGATAAAATTAAAGATTCAAAAATCTCATATGCAATAGAAAAGTTAAAGATTCTGTTTATCACAGAGCTTATAAACTTTCTCAAAAATTCCTGAAAACAGCACCATATGAGATTGATACAGAATCTGAATAGGTGATATTCTCACTTTATACCACTTTCTTTGATGAAGTCACAATATATATGACATCATGAAGTTATGACATCACAATGAAATCAATAGGAACCTTCAGCCAATCATAGCTCTTCTAGGTCATATGACATGTGTGTAACAACAAAAGTTTATTTCGTGGTTGGTATAACACTAATGATAGGCTTGTTATGTGGTGACAAAACTTAATTATCAATTGCATTGTTCTGCATTCAAAAAAAAAAAAGAAAAAAAATTTAACCCTATGAAGAAAAATATGCTTCATTCCACTAGACCATGAATGCCAAGCTGCCAAGTCTTTCTCCACCAATGAAGTCTAGAAATAAGTTGTAATTCTTATTTACAGTGGAGACTTTATACAATATCACGCAGAGGAAAAGAGAGCATTAGATAACAAAATGTCTGTTGAGATCCTAAATGACTTCGGATCTTTCATCTTTGACACGTCATCAGGTGACCGTCTGCTTCTATTGTCTCAGCCACTTATTGCGGTGAGTGACAGAAAGAATCAACATGGTGTGCGTTATCTGTTTAGACTTTGTCGTGGAAATCCCTAGCGTATTCATGTTGTCTAGTAACGTATACTTTCCGATCAACCATTGGATAAATCTAATCTGAGAAACCTTTCTGGTTAGTTTAGCTAAATAAGGACACCATTCACAGCTGCCACCTTTGATTACACATAAACACAAACATGTTCTCGCTTTCTTTTCCACTGGGAAAAAATTCCAACTCTCTATGGTAACATATACCAAACGTTGCTGAAAAGTTGAAGTAAAGGTTATTTTCAAAGGAATTTTTCCAAATTTGTATTTTAAAGGGAATTTGGAATAAAAATTGGTATTAGATAATGAAATTACCAGAAAACTTTATTGTTTGTATAAAAAATTTGTTGGGGAAAAACTGTCCTGTTAGCTTCATTTGTTTTGTTTTGTTTTTTTTTTGTATGAAACAATGAATATTTGAAAACTGAGATTGAGAAAAAGTTCAATCTGAAAGTGTAATATCGAAACAGCAAATTCTCCATCATTCATACTAATTTAAGATATTTAATATCAGATGAACGATCAAGTAAAAATAGCCAGAAATACTGAAATGATTTACCTGTGAGTTGACATATCTCGCAAACCACAAACGACCAGGAGCGAACTGTTAAGACAAAATTAATACAGAATTATAGACATTAGTAAACAGTCAATGACAGACACATATCAATAAGCTGTTTAGGAGATAGGAATTACCCACAAGTCGTGGCAGTGATTACCATGTTGCTTAGAAATAAGCTCATGTCTGATAATAAGCCCACCCCCATTTAAAGCAGATTTGGTAGAAATGACATCAAATCATCTATGTCTGTATCTTCAGACAAATGACCAGCATGAAGGGTAGTAGCACTGATGTCCAAAGTGTACAAGATGGTTATGAACTGACCAACAAAACACAGTCAAACCGACTGCTGTACATTGTAACCATTTTGTGTTTTTTTTTCTATAATCCGTTTACCATTTTGTCACACTATTTTGACCTTAGTGTACAGAAGATTATAGTACAGCTAAATGTTGGTTAATTTCTTATCCACTTAAACACTACGTAAGTCAGTGCTTGTACGCTCTACACTGGATATTTGTCTGATGAAGGTGACCGTGTCGTCATCAAAACGTCACACTCTAATCTTCTACTGGTTGTGTTATGAGATAAAGGTGACCGTGTTCTCATCGAAACGTCACACTCTAATCTTCTACTGGTTGTGTTATGAGATAAAGGTGACCGTGTTCTCATCGAAACGTCACACTCTAATCTTCTACTGGTTGTGTTATGAGATAAAGGTGACCGTGTTGTCATCGAAACGTCACACTCTAATCTTCTACTGGTTGTGTTATAAGATGAAGGTGACCGTGTCGTCATCAAAACGTCACACTCTAATCTTCTACTGGTTGTGTTATAAGATGAAGGTGACCGTGTCGTCATCAAAACGTCACACTCTAATCTTCTACTGGTTGTGTTATAAGATGAAGGTGACCGTGTTCTCATCGAAACGTCACACTCTAATCTTCTACTGGTTGTGTTATGAGATAAAGGTGACTGTGTTCTCATCGAAATGTCACGCGTTAATCTTCTACTGGTTGTGTTATGAGATAAAGGTGACCGTGTTCTCATCGAAACGTCACACTCCAAACTTATACGGGTTGTGTTGTTTCTATTATATTATTACTAGAGATGATATAAAAACATTTTTATAAAATTAATGCATGTATTTCACCAGCAAAAATGTAATAAATTGTGCCATATGTAACAATATAAAACAAATGTGAACTCCATTACCTTAAAACTTGTGTTCACCAAAAACATCTTTACAATTATGGAAGAAAAACTGATGATACTGCATGCTTTCAAATGTGAAATGGCTTTCTGATTATTTTCCTACTTAGTGTCATCCGTTGATGGCAAATTTGACATGACAGTATCAAATAACTAATCCCCCCAGGTGACTTATACATAGACAAGCTTGCTCGTGAACCTGTCGCTCTGATACCGTAAAAAGATCGATACATGTATATACATTACCCCTGAGAGAGATATTGATAATTCATCAATCAATGGTAATTTCTAAGATAAGTTTTATATCCTTGTATCTACAGAAAGTTACAAATGATTTCACGGTGGGTAGTCAGTGAGTGAATTACAGATCAATTATGCCAGATTATCATAGTATAAAAGTGACTTATTAAACTCACCTGACAGAGTTCCCCAAACTTGGCTTTTTCTGTCTGTGATATGGAATGACTGAAAAGAAAAAAGGAAAACTATGAAAGATTCCTGACAGTGAAGAAAAAAAAATGTTGGGAATTCCAATCAGCGTGCACGTCTCCCAGATACGGGACCAATATCAAGGTGATCACATTACCACCATAACTAAAACTACAATTATCAAAAACACCAAAAATGTAGCATGCTCTTTGAGACCTATGATGATTTCTCTAGTTGTTCGTCTAATCAGGAAAAGTATTAAAAGATGGTGATTTTTGTTTCTCTGCATTAATAGATAAGAACACAGCTGTGAGACGTGAATGTCTGCAATCTTAACCATAATCTGATAGATAACTATAGCAACATCAATCTTAAATATCCACAATCATTTTAAATATCCTGCAATAAGCCCACAACACATCCCTGTATACAACTTGGATCACTGGTGGGCTTATTATGAGACGAATAGTAATGCTTCTGTACACTGGTGGGCTCATTGCAAAACCAATGGTAATGCTATTGAACACCAATAAACACTGATGGGCTTATTACCAGGCATGGGCCCACTGTTGGGTAGATATTATTTAAGTATAATAACAGTGGGCTTATTACCAGACATGGGCTTATTAGTGGATACATACTTATCACAAATCATGGAAGTTATAACAAAGATATATTAGTATATAAACAAGACAACTGAGTAGGACTTGTTGGTTAATTCTATTGTCCAACAATTAATAAGGGTGGACTTATTACCAAGCACAGGCTTATTCTTGGACAATGTGATTTACAAATGTTGCACCGTTTCATTAAATGCTCTTCACGCAAACCTTGCTGTGTCTGCATGTTTGCTAATTTAAGATCATGATGCATCATTACACAGACATCGGCTAAATGACACTAAACAAGATCACATGCCATATTTAATAACACACAGGGATACGGTAAAATTGATTTTATTACACGCAATGGTCCTTATCTCTTATTAAACACACAGTCATTAATGTAGCTGTTTCTTCTCTCGTCGTTCAATACCCACTCAAACATGGTTGCATGTTATTTGTACGCGGGTAGAAATGTCACTGATCATTCTGCTACTTTATCACAGCTAGTTTAGTTGTTTGGTACACTCTATCTGCTTTCTCTCCTATTTCTATAATCAATATCTTTTTTGCTGGTTTAAATCGATTATTGATTAATTTTGATGTAGAGAACAATTTCTCTGATGTTTTAATAGATTATTATTAACGGGTATATATATATTTGAAATCTGACAGCAATTTTGAAAGTCATGGGGTTGATGTTGGATTTTGAATATATGGATTGTTACTTGCTTTTTAATTAATGTAGGCAGCAGTCTAGTTTTGCAAAAGTCTTAACAAGCTCTTCTGGATTTAGGGTAGATCTATTTACAATGCTTTCAACTGTTGCCAATATTTAAGAAAGAAACCATTTAGATGTGATTCCAAATTCAAATTCACAATTCCAAAAAAATTTTGACTTTCAAGTTTCATTGTAAAAGTTGATGGCTGTCTCACTGAACATCATACTGGAGGCCCACCACTATTGTTATTTAATGTCTTCCCATACATGTGATTTTGGGAGGCTTTGATATGTTTCATTCTATGTAAGCCTTTGTGATAATGCACAATTGAAGGCCTCACCCACCCATACTGTACATCATACTGACAACAGACAAACCTATTGCTTTTTTAGCCTACACTCATATCTATTATACGACCTTGTGTATTGGGGAGAAAGTTGGATTTAATTATATCAACATTTTTAAGCATTGCACTCAATTTGAGAACACTTATTCAGAAGTTCGTATGTAAACATGACTATATTTGGGAATAATATTTCAATGATGATACTGCATATAATCTTTTTTCCTTTCAACTTTGACGACAAACTGTTATATTTACATATTTAGACAAAATGGCTTGCCGCAGGTAAAGACCGGATGTTACATCTACATAATACATGTAACTGTGAGTATCTGAGTGTTAGGCTCTGGTGACACAACAATGGCTGCCAATATCGTATACCAAATCCCCATCAGATAATGCATTGACATCCCATCAGCCTAAAAACTATCTTATGTTATTTGTAATTAAAGTTCTCAAAGACAGGCAATTTATCAACAAGTGCAGCACACCGTGTTACCGCAATCGCTGAGCTAAGTAAGGATGACATGGTGGCTTCATGCGACAGGAAGTTGCTGTGCAACAGGTCAGTGAACATCGCGAATAATTACTGATTTAATTGACAGGGCAGGAGCATATTTACTTCTAGAAAAAGGTTCCCATGGCCTCTACCAGCTGATGTGAGGTTTCAGTGATCACTTCAGCTTAAGGGAAGAAACGTGTCTTAATTATATTAAAATAATAACATTTACCATATTTTATCTTGTCTGGTATTAAGCCCACCCATTTATATTCCTGTTTAGAAAAACTACCAAGTACAGCTAATTGATTGTCCTGTAAATAAGCCATTTAACTCATAACGACCACTGTTCATTAGCATTGCCAACAAATTTTATTTCGATATCCTGTAATAAGCCCATCCCCTGACTTTGAGGCAGAGATAATGTGTTGGTCCCGTGGGCTGATTGCAGGGAGAAAACAATACATTTGTGAAAATAAGTATTGTGTTTAAAGTTCCTTGTCTGGGGTTGATCTCACAAATATCATTCGCTCTTTTGTTAAAGCTGTATAATTGCCCTCCGGGCTTATTATATTATAACAAAATAATTTTTTTAAAAGTGATTCATGTATGTCTACATCAAAATAACAAATACAACCAAAACTGTAAAAACGGAATCACGATATTGGACAAGATTGGCTGATGCAGGCAGTTGTCATATAGAAATTTGTTAAAAGCATCAATGATTTTTTTCCCCTAGGTTTCAAAATTGCTTTGTTCTAATTCAATCGCATCGAATCTAAAAATGTTTTCATATAAATTAGGACTGGAGGCTTAGAGGCGCATTTCTAAATCAATTGCCAATGAACTTTCCATAAAGGGAGTGGCGACAGTGATACTGTTGATCAGGGCGACAGGGAGAAAATCATCTCTGTAAATGAGCATCGTAATTATCTTGTCAGAACAACATGTACAGTAAAGCAGAACGTAGTGGCAGGTGGGATGCATGTTGTTTCTGATCTGCTGGGAAATCACTTTAAAGCAATGTTGCGAAAAATATCCATGACCAGAGAGAGATGAGATATCGTATCCATCGTCAAATTAAGCCCAGGGTGCAGCACATTAATTCTTACAGAGTCATTGGGTGGGCTTATTACAGGACCATAAAATAACATTAGATTTTTAGTTTACTGTCAGCAATATACATGGGAGAGGTTACAAACCAATGACATAGCACCACAGATAACAAATAAGAGAGGCAGTTTTTAAACTTAGATTTTGATGTATGATAATAGAAATGATAGATGTTATCTGGAATGATGTCATATGGCAATAACAAATGGCTTAAACTAACTGCCAAACAGGAATTGGAATGTTTCAATAAGTGATGGATCTAAATTGGATTTCAGGCAATATGTCAAATAGTTTATGAAATCATCAATCTATTGAAGCAATGAGATATTGTGGACTTAATAACGAAGATTCTCTTGTCATTTTCTACACCTTTAACAATTTTCAGGACATTTCCCTGACAACATTTATGTAATTGACATCAATATGATGTCAATTACATGAGTATGATAAAAAAAAAAACCTCAACATCCCGGAGGCTGTTTTTCTTTTATTCCTCAAAGTGTATCGTCAACACGATTTGATCCCTATGCGGCCATCACGAGGACGATTGTAACAAACACAAACATGAAACCAAGGAAACAAATTGCAGGTAACAAAACATTCCGTCAAAACGAACAACATATAGTAATGAAAATTATCTTATTGGAAAAGTAAATAAAATTTTTTAGAGAAACAACGCAAGTATCAACCGCAACAAGCGCAGGATAAGTTGGTTGTGAGTTTAATTCGTCTAGTCGACCGGTTTCGCCCGAGCTATGTGGGCTTCATCAGGACAGCGAATGTAAGAAAATTACCCTTGAAGTACTAAAAATGTGGGCTTGGTTATATTGTGACATAATAATAAGAGTCACGTGCGCTATCATATATAGTGTCCATAACGGTTATAGTTAGCACAGTTCATTATAGATAGTGGTGTCTAGGAAGTTAACCTCGTTATCGCCGATATCCAAGGTAAACTTAGGCGTCGGTTGATACTTGCTTTGTTTGTCCCTATTCCTCAATCGCCCTGCATACCGGATGGTATCCAATCAAGGGATATCAGGAACAACCTACCCACATCTAAAAACACGGCGTTGGCTCTAACCCATGGAGTTATTGTAAATTTTTTAGAGGATTTAAAAATGCCATAAATACTATATACAGAGATCGATTCATCAATAAGGATCTCTATTAAATACCACATGGTGTCCATTCAGGAACATGCCGATTTCCTAGATGTCTTCAGCGTTGATTCTTCCTATTTTAGTTTTCTCAAGTTATGGAATAGTACTTCTAGACACTTTGATGTTATACACAGTGAATACAGTGTTACAGTTTTTTTCCCCATCAGGGTATAGTTTTTGCTAAGTATTTGCAATATTAAACAAGGAAAGATTTACACAATATACAATTACTTCCTTCTCATCAATGGCAAATATATAACTTGGCAAAAATAAGATATTCTGTTTCGAGACGAATGGGAAAATTTGTGTTAGGCAAAATAGTCTGTTATATGGTATTATGCATATAAGGGTGGGCTCATTACCGGACAGATATGGTGGTTACTAAAATGTGATATAGCTATTTCAAACCTATGATATATCAAAGAGAGGCTCCTGACAACTCATGTTTCATGATCTATATCAGATAAAAATTAGGTCACAGTAATCTATGTTTAGATATAACACGATTAGAAATGAAATTTTCTAATCAGGCTGTGAACAAGGTATTCAATATCATCTTAGAACAGAAAGAGGTCACTATGACCTAATTCTTGC